CTCAGAATAGAGTCAAAAGTCACTCAATTGATAGTTAGCACTAACTCGGACTTGAGTAAAACTCACTCATTTCTGATGTAATAGTTTCACTCAGTTGTACTCATCCCAACAGAGTGAAAATTCACGCAATATTGAGTAAAATTGAGTGAAATTCAACTGAATTTTACAGTGTAACAATGTCTTAAGTATAGTATATAATTATGTGTTTGTAGCATTTTTTAATTGGCTATTTCTACCATAATAAAAAGATTTTTTTTATATAAATATCCCCTTGAGCGAAAAAAGATAGAGATTCATTTTATCAATATAGTCTTTCTAACCAGAAATATTTCACACTAAGAAAGTAGAAATTCTGCATAATAATTACTACAACGCATGACAACTCTAACGTTCAAAAACCTCTCTATTTGCGTTATCAAAACTTAAATTAACTAACAGTTTTGACAATTTTATTTACTCTCCATAGATACTTAGCTTCTTGAGAATTTTCAACCAACAACTTTTAAAGAAAGTTTACCATTGTTTACAAATTTAAAAACAGATGTTTAAAACTATAATGGAATTAATTACTACACTGAAAAAAACGGGTTTATTAAACTCTTTCTCTAGAATAATGTGTAGGTATAGCGCATATTTAAAATTTTATAACAAATATTCAACTTTTATTTTACAAAAACACTCATCTTCATACTCATTATTCAACGAGTTTAACTGGAAAGCGCTCAATGCTCATTATACATCTATGAAATAGAGATTATAATGAATTACTTATACATTATTACGTGTTATAGGCTCTATGTTCCACTTATACATATAGGAGGAAATGTTGGTTGTATAAAGACCAATATTCGAATTTATACATAAAAGCTGTATTAACAGAATCATTCGTTTTCATAATGATTATGTTTCCGTTTCTGACGCCTCTTATAATCGTAGAATTTAAGACAATCCGCTGTGCATCGACTATTACGATTCTTCTAGTTGGATGAGGATAAACAGTATAGATACATGTTTTGTGGGATGCGTGAACACAGCACGCTGTATGAAGTGGAAAGTTATGAAACTACATGTTTTATAGTTTGTAATTGTTTTGTCTCTTCATATTTAAATCTTTTCTAAATCTTAAAAATTATTATCCTGTGTGCCCTATCAGAAATCGCTGATGTTAAGTTTTACATAAAATGGAGGAACAGAAGACTAACGGTGACAAAGAGGAGCACGAGTAAAATCAATCAACCAGAGGAAATAGAGTTAGAAAAAAGAATCACAACCTTTCAGGGGATGATGCTTCATTCTTAAGGTACAAATTCGCATGCAATGTAATTTAATGTAAGAAGACACGAGTGTGACGATACTCAAAAATAAACTGGACAGTTTTGGGAGCGATTTGTCATCATTTTTAATACTTAAATGTTTGTTATAATTATGTTTACATTCGAATTTTTCTTAGAATCTTATTGTAGTTCTACATTAAAATTTCTGAAAATTTAATGTCATACATTTTTAACTCATACAGTTATAAAACTTACTTATAATTAGTGTTCTAATTCTAGATGTTCTAATAACAAGTATAGAACTCTTTAATAACAGTTTCCTAAAAAATATAAACAACGAATAATTTAATAAAGAATATGGCTTATAGTCACTATACGACTGTGTTAGCAATACGCGTTTTATGTCCAATTCACCTCTTCATCTATCACATATAGTATACATTGTCCTTATAATGGCATTTAGAATTCTTATAAAGATTAAAGCGCATTTCTTTTAATGTATATGTATAAAAGTAATATATTTTCAATTAAATGAGTCTATCAACAAAATTTCGGACTGGCTATCGTTATATCCAATATTAAGTAATATATTTATGAAATATTTTGAAAATATGTAACTACATTGATAATTGAAATAAACGATTTCCCAATTTAGCCTTATATATCTGATAACTTAAGTAATTTTTGTAATTTGGAAATTGAAATGAAGACACATTTTTATTAAATAGAATTACGATATGAAACAAGTGTTTATGGGAAGCTAACAAATACTAACAGGTATTTCAATTAAAATTATCGCAAGAGCATATATAGATAGGTGCGGTAAAATTTTTATATGACAAAATTTAGTTCTTGAAAGGATCAAATTTTAAAAATGAAATAGGATTCGTTAAAAAATATTATGTAATCAATATCCAGGAAGATTTGCAATAGAGCTTTTGAAAACACTGAATATAAAAATAATTTCTGGCAACACCAAATTGTTACATAATATACGTACCTATACTGTAAAATTACCGTATATTCAAGGTTTACCTCGAATTAAAAAGTTAATATTAGGAATTTTTCAAACTGGTTGCGGACAATTTTATTCAAAACTTTTCAATACATTATAAATGTTAGAAAACATCATATCACAAAGGGAGAATCTGAAAATTAAAAAATTGTATATGTATATGTTTCTAACCATTTTCTAACATTTTGATTGCCTTTGTCTAAATTTACAAAATCAACCCCTTTGACCGATGCGGCGCATGGGGGTTACTTAATTAAAAATAATAATTTCAGTGTCACAAATACCGTATTAAAAAAAACAATATCTTATGTTTTTGACAAATAAAGTTTTATTTTAGCAAACAGTATTAAACTTCCCCATTAAGCCTATAAATCAATTAAATCTTATTCCGAATAATTAAAAAATTATAACTGCTTCCAAAAACATCATTTATCTCGTATGAGCCGTAATAACTCAAACCAAATTCGTCTGAAGTCATTATACAAGCAAGATGTGCAGGAATTTTAGATTTTATCTCGTATTTTATCAATTTTTTCACTTCACCAAATTCATACGTAGCGGGAAATATAATCCAAAATATAAATTCTGAGGTAACGAAATTCTTTTTTCAGAAATACCTAACAGTACCTATCAGCGTTTTAAAAAAAATTATCTTGACATAATTTTGTTCTAACTGAGAGAAACATTAAAAATATACCTATAAATATCGTTACAAATAAATGGTGACACAACACATGATAGACGAAGGAATTGTGGGATATTTCGACGTATGAAACGGATTGCGGCATCTACGTAGATGTTTTTATGTTATAATTAAGTACAAATGGTATAATTATTTTAATAATTGTTTTCTATTTCATTAACGGTATTATCTACTAATTCATTTTAAATCAGACAATGAAGAATCAAATCAATAAACCGTTATATATAACATTCTCTATAAACAACTTAAAATATTAGGTATTATATGGTTCCAACTTTTGTACTATTTTTGAAATATTTAATCCCCCAAAGGTGGAAAAAATTATACAGATATTAAAGCAAATCTTTATATTATTAAAACATAGCAACGACTTGACATTATCAACAAAATATCTACTTAAAAGCAATTGAGAAAAACTAATATTGCAAAAGATAATTATATAATTACTTGTATCTAACACATACGCATGTGCGCTGTAATGAAAATATTTCTAACATTATCTTTATAGAGAGTTGTTTTATAACTGTTTTATAAGCTTCCGATATGCACCTATATATCTATTTATTTCAGTATCTGAAAAAAGTGGGGTGCACTTCGATTACATTTTTCGTATAGTTAGTTACTATTAATTTGTTATATTTTACTCAAATAAATACTGGTAGTAATTACCTACCATAAAACTTGATGTTTTAATAATTAAATAATTGAATTATTATGGTATGATTAAAGTCGCTATAAAATATTTATTTTCCTACAATCCCACACATAAAGAAAAATTGAATTTGAGGAATAAGACTAAAAATATGAGCGATCTGTTACAAGATAGTTCAGCTACATTTAAATAATGATAATGAAACTATTGAAGATATGAAATGAGAATTGCACGGTGAAAATGAGCTATTTAATTCAGCGGAAGATATTTTCAACTAACTACATAAAACACACTGAATTTGTGATTAATATATTTTCAGTCAACAGAAAGGGTAGAAGAAACACCCATAGGAATTTCACTTAATCAGAAACTTCTTCAGTCAGTTGTTTTTTCAGAAAGAAATTTAATTTTTTTATCCCAAAGAGAAGATTGAAGATATCCATAATATCGTAAAGTCGTTGCGTTAAAAATTCAATAACCAATGCGTAGGTATTCACAAAGAAAAAACGTTAAACTATCCCAAAGCATTTAATTTGAAACTTCAAACTCATGTAAAATATTTTTTTAAAGAGCATAGACGCGAACACAGTGAGAATAAGCTTAAAATTGAGGAACGACCTAAAAATTGACCATTATCCTGCTCAAAATCGACGCAAAGGACGAAAGAAGCTACGTCGAAGCGTATGGCTAATTCCAAAAACACATGCAACAGCAACACTTAAGTCGTGCTTACCATTTACGAATATAACTGTGCATCAACAAGTACCTGCACAAAAAAACTCACGCGAACGAGGGCGAAGCGTTAAAAATTACCATCGGAAGGGTGGAAACCACCCAAGACCATCAGAAGTCAACGATCACCTTTACCTGTGCCGCCGAAAAAAATAAGGAAGAACACATCCCACTCCTGCCGGCTGAAAAAAGGAAACCTTCAAAATCCCCTTACATGATCCTGTACCAAAAACACAAAACACACTATAGCCAGCACATGCGCCCCGAAATCGCCCCTAAACTCTCATCCGTCACGAAAAAAAACCTTATAATATACGTGAAGGAAGGGGTAGTCGAAATGCGCACATAGATATCTTTCGATTTTAGTAAAAAGAAAATATCAGCCTTTACTTTACAGCGCTTGCATTGGCCATCGCGGATCCGCGCGCCGGACGAGAGGCGACATACGCCCCGCCGCGGCCCAGACAGAGAGGGAGAGAATCGCGGGCGCCGCCAGAGGGCGCCTGGTCCCAACAATAGGGGCGGAGCCCGCGCAAAACAGAAGACGGCGCGAGAGAGAGGCAAGAACGTCGCTCCGAATGCACCATGCAAGATTCTAGCGAGTCGCCAGTCTTGGGGTAGATATCCCGATGAAAGCACGTGGATCCGAGTGGGTTGAACACGACAGTTGAGCATCAACCCCGTGTGATTAACAAGTTTACAAACTTCCGACTGCTGTGCTTCCGTTCATACGCATCGACGGCGAACCCAGCCGGGCACCGAGGCGAGTGTGACAGTGACAGGACGGTTATTCAACCGTTGTTTACATATTCATAAAAAAATATATATACACACAAGCATTAAAAATAAAATTCCAACAAACGTCAAAGTAGAAACAAAGACGCGCGCGGCGGACAATCGAGGCAGTTCGGACAGCCTACTGCGATGGATGTGTTTTGAGTTTTCAAAGAACAAGTGAATGAAAAATAAATAAGAAACGATGAGTTGCGGCTGTGTCGCGGTTGTTCTTGAGAGGTGATTCTTCTACGGACGGTTCCCCTTCGTTCTTCCGGTAGGATAGTTCGGAGTTGTTGCCCAAAACTGGCGGAGTTGGAACATATGCAGCCCACAGCGGCAGCCAACTTGCCGCCCCCGGGGGGAGATATGGACCTGCAGGCTATGCAGTCGATGGACTGGCTGTTCAAGAAAGAGAGGATCTACCTTCTGGCACAGTTCTGGCAACAGGTAGGGTCTTGCAGTAGTTTTAAGGCGAAAACGAGAAAAAAATCTGTGACGAAAATTGTCAAAGATGTGGAAAAAAATTACAGTGACGCGTAAGAAATTCCACTCCGTTTATTCCAAAAATTCTTTATCCAAAACACATGCATTTAAAAAAAATGTTAGTACCAAAACCTTTAAAATAATAATAAAACGCTGAAATAGACAAACCAAATATGATGAAATTAAGAAGATTTGAAGCAGTGAATATAAGATGTCATTCGTGAAATAAATTAACTCGAGATATATTCAAAATCCTACAAGACTTGTGAGAGAAAAATGTATCTTTGGCCTGTCAGGATTCGAGACATCAAAGACTACAAATAGATATATTGGCCTATTAGACGGAAAAGTGATTAATTTTTCGACAGACGTAGAACAATATTACAAAGTCGTATGGAGATGAAAAGATGTCTAATAACTTACATTAATCAGTTCACTAAATTTTGTAAGATATATTTAAAGTATAAACACCGTGTGAAATTTCGTATCAATTGCACAAAGCAATATGTTAAACACAATGAAATATATACCTATACAAACATAAATGCATTTTAACAGAGTTCAAAGTTTTATTAAAAAAAAACAAAAAATACAAATTAATGGACTTATAGGATGGAAGATGTTTGAAAACATGTATAGAGACTTATCTAATTATTATCATCCAAACAATTATTACAAGTACATTAAAATCAAAAACAAGAAATATTCAGTAAACGTGTATAATTTACAATGGAATCAAAATAAACTAGGTTAATATTTCTGTTACAAACACACAGAATTCTTTTTATAAGCCTGATCTATAAATAAAACTAATTATTTACGGAAAACGCACACATAAATAAAACCAGGTAAATAAATAAATCACTCGATATCGAATAATAATTAATAAAAAATAATTTGTGAATAAATCACACGAGGATCCGCATTCATGAAAGGATGGCTAAAATCGAAAAAATCCATAACGCGAGACCGAGATTGAGTAATGGGGAATTAATGTAACCCTAGGCTTACATTTTCGGTTATTTATAATAGGAAGAAATAAATTTAATCAACAGCCAATTAAACAAGCAATTATTATTATTACTTTCAAAATCCTATCAAATTACAGTGGTAATTTATGGCCCATACGCTTTCCGAACGTTGTCGAAATATGTTTTAATTCAATTAAATAACAGAAACTATCCTCGCGACTATATTAATTAATATTATGGAACCGTAAACAAAATCTTAGTTGTGTATTTTTTTTAATATTCCACTTCATAAATATCCCGAAGCGCTATCAAGATCTACCCATTTGCCTAGATTTAGTTATCGACACATATTAGAGTTGGTAAAAATTCAAAAGTGTGGTAAAAATTCAGAATGCATGTTACGTCAAACTAACCAGTTTCGGAATAATTACTAATCTCTCAAACAACGTGAGACTATAGAATTATGTTTGTTAATTAACAATTATATACGTATCTTTCCTTCTGTTTATTGGAATTGCTTTAGTCGTCAAAGTTTAATTGTTAGATGTTTAGTTTGATCACAGTTCTGCAAAATAAGTACAACATTACTGCTATTTGCTTCAAATGATATATAAAACGGTTTGTTACAAATCTCCAGCATAAAATACTTAAGACGATTTGAAAAGGTTCATAGTAGTTATAACTTTCAAGTAAATTTTGAGCACTATCACATTTACCTGTAGATTTAGTTATCGATCTTGCGATGAAATAATCAGAAGTGTGGTAAAAATACAATATAGTTGCTAATCATCCAAACACTTTGGGGCCATTGAACTATGTTTATTAATTAATAGTACCACACAATTCATTTATTAGAGTTCAGTTAGGCTTCAAAGTTTAATTATTGCAAGATGTTGTATCTTTAGATCGATCAGAGTCCTGTAAAATATGCACAACATTCTTAGTGCCGTTAGTTGTATTGAAATATGTATACGGAGTGTTTTTGAAATGATGTTATACACTTTTAGGAGACATAGTACTCATTTAAATCAGAAAAATGTTTCTGTTTTTCATTGCAAGGTGTTAAACGGTAGAATTTCATAATGATATCGGCAGCTGTGGTTATTTATGGGAATAAATCGAATATTAATTGGTAGAATTGACGTAACTTTTATAGGTTCTCTCACAAGTTGTATCGCAATTTTTAAATTGAATTTGTTTCTATATTTGAATTGATAGTATCTACATTAGGTTTTGGTATAGGTGCAAGTACTACAATTTGTTCTTTGCAAAACAAATACTGCAAAGTTTTTACTGTGATGAATATTACAAATGTAAATGGCATAGAAGAATATAGCTACGGTTTTCAAAATAGTACTTTTAACCCTGATATCTATATACAGCAATGAATAAAAAGAATAGTCGCTGGGATATAAAAAATTTCAAGGTTACAAACGAAGAATATTCGGGAGTGATTTTCATATTTTCTTAAGTTTGCTAAAATTTGTGAATGGATTTGCGTGGCTTATAAGCCGAGATCGCAGTGTCAAAGTTGAAAAATGTGAGGTCGCGGCAACCCGTGGATGTTGTACGCTCGATTTAATCTTTTTGACTTAATAAATACTGGACTCCCAAGAATTCCAAAACAAATTCCCAAACGAGTTCTGTTCTTAAAGACCCATAGTTTATAGGCGGCCATTTATTCCCGTTCTTTAAAAATAGAGACGTAAAAGTAATAACATTTATACGCTCACGCTGTCCAATACCCACATCTCAAGATTCTTACAAACGGTTATCGATTTTCGAGAAAATTAATATTAAATTTATGTTTATTATCGAGGTAACCTTTGGCGATATTTATTATTCCCCGCGCGTTTCAACATTTATTAAGTCGCGATGCTAATTCCCTGCCCACGCCGGACTGTATTGGAAAATCAGGCATTTGTGTATAATTAAACAACAAATTGTCGCTAATAAATATCCCGTCGCGGCCTTATACGATTCGAAACTGAAGTAAATCCGTCACCTTCTCGCAGGCAGGACGAAGATTTATCGACGATTTAAAAATAAAACAGTTTTATCGATCGCGGCGCTCAATAAATCACCCTCTAGGACCGACTGTAAAACCTGACATTAAAAATGTCCGTCAATCCTATAGTAATACACTTAATTTTTATTGGCGTCAATAAAAATTAAGTAAGAAAGTGTGTAAGGACGGTTTGGTGCGCGTAAGTGGAGCATCAAAGTCCTAACAGTGCGGTGTCTAAGCGGAATCTGAGGTTTCGGGAGAGTGCCGCGCTCGCGAGGGGTGGCGCCACTGCACGGTAGCGCCGTTTCATCCCCCTTCGACGAGAGAGCCGCCGTTTCTGCTTATGCATTTATTCTTTTCCTCCAAGAGCAAATACGTGGCAGTCTAGGATATGCGCAAGATATTTGTCAAAAACCTTTATTGCAATGTGGTTGCAAACGTAAATAAATTGTAATTATGCTAATAGTAAATTTATTTTTAATATCAAACGACGTTAGGTGCCCTTAACAATTGTTTTTTTATGTAAGTTTCAATCTCAGCGCAACTCAATAAAAAAGGTAACAATTCTATGTTTACCTAATTCGAGTTTAATTATTAATATGAATATTTTAATCACAGTTATGGATTTGTACTGTTGTAAGTGTTCACTTAATGTAGGTCGTGTATTTGTATTGTTTTTTGTTCATAAAGTATTGGAAGAATATTTACTTCTTTATTCTAAAATAGTTTGTACTTTTTAAAATATAATTCTGTATTGGAACATTGAATACTTCTGTTTATTTATTACACATACAAATAAAGAAATACAAATAATTAGTTTGTAAATGTTTGCAAGAGATAAACCACTAAAAATCTGTCCAACAGCACTAAGGCCGTTGCTTTTTCATAAGACTAGAATTATGTAACGTCTCAAATAAAATAAAACCCACGTTAATTTTATTAACCACTTACAAGTCGCATTATTACTAAATCTGAACGCATTTTTTATAATCATTTGTTTATCAAAGCACTACACTAGTAGGTATATTTAATAACAATAGATATACAAAAATTCAATGTCAAAAATTCATAGCATGGCCCATGGTACCTTTGTAGAAAATTTAAGGCGGAATATTGGAAAAAAGTTATCCATTTTATTTAAAAATTCATCATTTAAACAATAATTTAAATAATGCAGTCATATAGCAGATTTGTCATTATAATATAAACAAATATGTAGAAGTTACAATAACTATTTAATATAAAAGCGAAGTGTGCTTCGGTAGATTTGTTGTTACATTATTTTTTTACATGTCGAATATATTTTAATCCAAACTCGTTTAGCGTAATTTTCAATATGTGGGCCCTGCTTGGTGCCGAGCCTTAAGTATTTTATTTTAAAAAGTTCTGTATTGGAGAAAAAATATTGTATATGTTCTATAATAATTAATTTGTGGCAACTTCAGTAACTACGTTTTAACTGATTGGGTGTGTTTGCCGTAATGATAAGAAAAACTTTTTAAATAAACATCCCCTTACATCAAAAAGGATCAGCCATGAAATTGGGCCAGAAGTAATCACATTGAGCAAGTAGATTCACTATTCAATCACTGCAATACATTAATACAAATTACACTGTAAAAAAGTCGGTGTGAGCGAAAACAATAAAGGTTCGAAGTGAATCTATTGAGTGAAATTATTTACATTTTCACTCAATATTGATCATTTTACTCATTTGTGATTATATTTAAACTAAAACTGAGTACTTTCACTCAAATATAGGTACTACTTAAATAAATTCTTCACGTAAACTCGTATTTGGTGCATTTGTACCTAAATCAGAGTAAATATCCTCATTCCTGAGTGATCTCACGCTTTTTCATATCCAAATGCATTGTCTTTGTCTGTTCCCATCATCCCATTAGGTTATATCGTGAAAGTGGCGTGGTGGATGGCAGTATGGCGTATGGTGTGCTTTGGAGTTGCACAAGTATCTGTTTATGGTT